CTCGGACAGGCCACCGGCTAATATCAAGTCGTTTCACGACGCTACCTGATTTTACGATGATAGAGAGCATTAAATTCGGCCATTTCCACTGGACGCCCGCATTAAATAAATTAACGAGCGTGTTTGTAGCCGGGAAAATTCAAGTTAACCTCCCCGTCCTATCCAGAACCTCTCTTTGTTCGGGTCGCTTCTTAACGCAATTAGATAAATTAGTTGCCGCGCTACCCGAAAAACTTCCGGAGTTACCCGGAACACCCTAAACTATACGATTCCATTCATTAAAGTTTAACCGGAGGACCAATTTAACTTAAATCGTTCGAATTCACTACTTCAAAACGACACTATCTACTACGATTTAAAACTATTTGACAAACTTTTCTCAAAAACATCTTGATAAAATAAATAAATGTATAGTTTTCTTTAAATAAGGAGGGCTGGGGAACCCTTAGTGGAAATCGTTTAGTCGTATTAAAAGTGGATAGAAAGAGGGGTTAACAGTTCGCCCACGGGACCGAGTAATCCGTAATAAAACCGTTTGATGTTTATAAGATCGAATGGCACGACGGGCGACTTTACGCGCGCCCTGAAAGTGGCTCAATTAAACAAAGGGGAACGTGAGCTTTATTTTTGACTCCAAATGGTCGCGCGCAGATGCGGCTCTGTATCAAATTGCCGACGATAGAAGGCGCAATAAACTCTCGACGAACGTCGTAGAGAGGCGTATCGCCTTAGAACGAATTTGCAATAAAATCAATACGGGTAAATTTACGGCTTCCACTCGTTTCAAAACTGATTTCCGTCAATAGGGCGATGACTTGATCGATAATCACTTTAAACAAAACTAAATAAACATAAAAACCAACTTCATTGAGTTGTGAAAAAGTCATCATTGTAAGTATGCAGCCAATATCACAGTATTGGTATTGCAATACGCGATTTGCGTATTTGGTTGCATACTTGCAATGATGACGATAATTAATTAACACAGATTTTTGATTTTAGATTGCTCGATATATTTAGAAACGTTAAAAAATATATATAACACACTCCCCATAAATTTGTTTAAGTATGTCATTTATGACCTAGGAATTACGACATTAATTTCTGCAAATTACGAGAGGCATATGAAACACGTACACGTGCAAGGAAAGGTCCACGTCAATAACCAAAACATCGTCATTTCCGATTTATTGAGTAGTCGCAACAAATCAAATATAGAATTATTAAGAGATTAAGACATCTTAATCATCAAAGAAAAAATCCGAGGCAATTAAAGGTATATATCGGAGATTTGAGTTCTATGATGAAGGGACGTGATCGCATTAAGTTTTTAGTGGGAGCAATTAGATGATTGGAAAAGGTGCAAGGATTATTAAATAGAGTGGACGTTGTCTCCCCACAACTTCCCCCCTTCCCCATTTCCATTCCACCGTCGCCGTGGGGTCCTTGGTACGTATGGGTAAAAATTAATTAAAACCGAAAAATAGTCCGTTTTAATTGCTATGCAATTTCCAGATGGGACAACGCGTTTAGTGCGAAAACGTGACGTACGCCAGGGAATTCGGGTGAAGCGACGCGTTTCCCGGGGCTTTCCCCGGGGACCTTATCGGGTAACCACTAAACATGCATCTGATAAAATCGATCTGGTCGTTTCGGAATGGAGTTGAAATTGCTGTTTCATTAGAATTTTGGCTCGAAACGGTGTGGTAATAAGTTATAAAAACGGGTGAAATATCTTAGTTTGGAGTTATGGAAAGTCGCGAAAATGAACATTATACTCGACGATGTAACAACAAGGGGGAGCCCCGGAGGTTTGAGTTTACGATACGACTAGTTTCGTACAATTAATTTTGCAGCTACATATAAACGGAGATACCGAGACGACCTGAGAGCAAGAACAGCGCCATTTTCCCCGGGCGTTTCGACTTCCTGTTTCCTACCGTCTTCACTTGCCGTTTCCGGTCCCCTCTGCCCTCGGCCTCCGCTTATTTATCTCCGCGAGATTGCCCCCTTCCCATTGATTTAACCTCCTCGCACGACTTCCCTCCAATTATGGTACAATATTTCTACATTTCGGAATATATCAAATATATCTGTCGGAAAACGTTCAGACGAAGAAAATTAAATTGAACTTCCATATCGCCAGAACCAATCTTACTGGACGTTATGAACAAAAAAAAACTATATCCGCAAACCCAGACTTTTAAATCTTGCTGAGTTCGCTCGATGGAAGTAGAATTTTAATCATAATCATATTGCCATTTGACTTATTTTATATATTATTGAATTTTCTATTTCTTTTACATTAGTATAAAAGATATTCAATATTTTTTGAGATATAAATAACTATCATGAAACTAATTCATCAATGTTTTATATGTATTATGTAGGTAACAAGACTTCGAAGACGTCGGATTGATACTAAGGTTGATCGAGCCTTTAATTAGCAGTGTTTAGTCTTTCAGTAGCAATATATAACTTTCTTCCAACAGTATATAATGTTCTGCCAATAGTATATAATGTTCTGCCAATAGTATATAATGTTCTGCCAACAGTATATAATGTTCTGCCAACACTATCTTATCTTCAGCATTCAATAACCCGTCTTTTGTAAGCACTTTCAAGTGTTTTATTAGCAGTATCTAATCCTCCTTCAAAATTTCTGTTAGCAGTATGAGATGAAGATGTCTGAGTTTTGATCTACAACTAAATTATTTGAATTAATTTTGCAATAAAGTTAATATTACTTTGTTATACATTAAATAAATTATTTATATTAAAATTGTCTGTGCATGAATCAATTATTATAAATAGTAAGCATGTGTAAGTAATAAATTAAAGCATTTTTGTGAGTCGAATTGTGTATGCAACAATTTTGACTAATTCATGCCGACGTTAGTCATTCAATTCATTTTCACAAGAGGTGCCGTGAGAAGACAAAACATAAAAATTAAAATTTGTGTTTAAGTAATTATCATAAGTAAGATGTATTAAAGCATAAGAAATACATATATAACGTTAGCAATTGAGAGTTAACGACTAAGTTTACGCCAAGAATTAATGACGTAACGATGTAGTTGTCGTCGGAGGCAATCGTAGACACGGAGTACAAGGCAGTAATATCTTGGGGCGGAAAGCGATATAAATCGGGTTAATGTACGAAGTTAATATACGTTCGAAGAGAAAGAGAGAGGAGAGTATGAGAGTTAAGTTTGACAGTACCCTAATAAACCAGACATAGTTTTCCGCTTTTCCCTTGCGTCGCAACACCCGACCTAATGAAATTCTATGAGCCATGTCGACTGAATACCGGGGATACGGTATCGTTTGCATGTATATAGCGAACAAGCGGCCGTTCCACCGATTAACGGCAACATCTTGAAAGATGTCCCTTTCATTCCAACTATCAAATAAACGTAAAAGAAGGGCTCCACCCTTCACGTAAACTCTGTTTTTGTTTCCGTCATTTTGGGGTGAATTTCGCCATTTTTAATCCCCTTTTACGATAAAATCGAGTTTGGATCGAAATGAAAAATACAGAACAGGTGGCCCCGCGTCGGATTAGTACCTGTGATTCATAACTAATGCTAGAGCATGAGTTCACGTATTACCATAAAGTGGGTAAGGGTGCGAACCGCTCTTACCCCATATGCCGCTTCCTATGACAGTTGTATAACCCCTCGCGGTAATCTTTATTTACGTTTTTTTAAGCGACGCCAAATGCTAGAGAACCTAACCGGACGCGGTAAACGGACTAATTTTAAATTTCTTTTCGGATCGTTCACTTGTAATTGATTTTGATCCGCTTATATTTTAAAGGGTGACTTTATTTTTATTATTTTCTTTTATCACCATATGCCAACATTACTTCGGTTTAATAAAGCAATTAAAAAATATAACAAAATTTAATCTCACCATTAGTTTTTTTTAAATCCATCACAAAAAAAAATAAACCGAAACCGTTGATTACTTAAATAAAACTAAATCGAATTTATTGCAAAAAAAGTCCGGTGAGTAATAATGTTAAAATAGCTCCCCCCTCTCAATAAAATGTTAGGTAGATAAGAAATTAAATGAAGAAATAAAATAAAGTTATATAAATATTTTTTAGATATATGAAAAGATATTGTAATCAAATAATTTCACTATAAATATTACTGCACGATTCCTGTTAAAGGCGTTAACGATCCATGTATGATAAAAAAATGGTGATATGCATGATAAGAAATGTATCGTGATTCAAGGCATTATAACCAACAATATCAGTGGTAACTATATGGTTAGAACCGCGTCAAATTCCACATCCATTAATTGTTGGTGGTTGGGACGCTTGTGTGTTTATTAATTTGGCTGTGCCATTGTCCCAGGTAATCCCTTGTAATCTAGTTATTATAGGAAATAGAGTATTAGTGCGTAATTGATGAAATATAGAGGTACAGAGGTTTCCATAGTTGCCTATTATGCGATAGGCGATTACCTATTATCCACGCATTTGATGCAAATCCGGTCATGAGGGGACATTTTTTCCATCCGCCACCGATCCCTGAAGGACGATGAATATTTACGAGCCGCGACGTAATTGATCGATTGCCCATAAAACAATTTACTCATCTTAACCGCACCCCCAACGTTAAAAGCTGCTTAGCGGAGCGTTTTTAAACTTTCCCTTAATAAAACCAATTTGGAGCAGATATCCCACAGGAATGCCCCATTATCAAGGGAACGCTTTTACTAAATTAATACGCCGATTTGCTGGTACCTCGTACGTGCACTTGCGTAATTACAGACGATTAGTAGATAAATTATAATAATGTTAAGACACGCTGCGTTCGAAATCACAAGACACGTACGAATGACCTGAATATTACTCAATATGTATACTCAATATCAACAACTATATACACATCTAAAGGAAAATATTTACTTTTTATGATTAAATTTAAATTTAATTTTATCGATAAGATATTCTCAATAAATGTTACATATTTAATAAAAATTACCTTATATTCCTCGACATCATTACATCTTCAAAAATCTGTAATAAAAATCAATGATAATGATCTGTAATAATTAATTTTTGTTAATTTATACATACCCGGGTTAAGGACTCCCAGCAAAACATTCTTGGTCGATCTAAACAAATAATATTAATATTAAATCATGTTATAAAAATTAGTTTAAACATAATTTCATTTTTATTTGAAAGAACAATAAAATAAATCATAGTATCAATCATAGTTTAGTCTAGTAAGAGTACATTCGCTTTTGACTTTGAGTGTAACTACGTCGTTAAAATAAAGTCGTACTCGGTGCAACGAAGTGAAAGGCAGAGAACCTTGCCGGGGCGAGCGCAACACGAAAGAAGGTGGAAATAATAAAATGGTAAAAAAAAGGTGCGCGCACACCTGATTGACGTGTGATATACTCGATTTGATGATTTGTTAACTACCCATTGTATAAGCGATAGCGAGCGGTTGTTGTTATTGCTGCTGCGCTCGATTCGCGTTCAAATCGACGTCAACATTGCGAAACGCGTCTTAAGAACAAAGTCTTAAAACGTACGGTCTCCGATACGATCGCCCCCGGACACGTGCGCACCGAGTCACTCGCCAACAGGAGCCCCAACAAAGCGAACCTTTATTCGTTTTTATTATGTATTTCGTTTCAACGCCGTAAATTTTGCTCTTAACTACCACCAACAAACCGTTTTATTCGTGTTTAAAAAGATTTCGAAACGTGATTAAGGAAACAATACTACTTGTAATTCCCTTTTTGTTTCAAATCATAAAATTCAATTTCAAAAACATTGGGAAAATTCTTTTATACCCATTTAAAAGTCTACTACGGTATACTAACACCATCTATTGGCGAAAACTTTAATTCTACTTCACTAACGCTACCTTTTATTTTTCAAAAACTATCATCACTAAAATTTAAACTGTGAGTATAGCACAAACGTTTAGGTTGGATATAGAAATGTTTTAGTCTCAACGATAAAATAACACCAAGTATGGCAGGAATTACTATATAAAATAAAACGAAAAAAACTGTTTGCTACTGTTATGTTGACGCAATTAATAATAGGAAATACAATAAGGTGTATAAGCCGATGTTTCTGTATTAACTCTTGGTCACTGATTCAATGACCATCGTTTCTAGAGTCCTAGCTGGACGATTTTTACGTCTATGTTTGACTGGTTCTTGTTTTACAAATGGCCATCTTTAAAAATAACGATGCTATCAGAATCAAGCATTACCAAGCAGTATTCCAAACAATACTTAGGTTGGGTTACAATACTTGATACTTATTGTATTGTTTATGATATTTGGGAAGAAATAACATCGGCCGACTTCGAAGATGTCGGCCGTCTCAAATATCATGAACAATACAATAACTATCAAGTATTGTAACCCAACCTAAGTATTGTTCATGAACAATACTTAGTGCGGCCGACGTCTTCGAAGTCGGCCGAGGTTATTTCTTATATCATGAACAATACTTAGGGCGGCCGACGTTTTCGAAGTCGGTATCATGAACAATACAATTAGTATCAAGTATTGTAACTCAACCTAAGTATTGCTCATGATGTAAGAAATAATCTCGGCCGACTTCGAAGACGTCGGCCGCCCCAAGTATCGAGAACAATACTTAGTACGGCCGACGTCTTCGAAGACCACCGAGGTTATTTCTTATATCATGAATAATACTTAGGGCGGCCGACGTTTTCGAAGTCGGTATCATGAACAATACAATTAGTATCAAGTATTGTAACCCAACCTAAGTATTGCTCATGATATAAGAAATAATCTCGGCCGACTTCGAAGACGTCGGCCGCCCCAAGTATCAAGAACAATACTTAGTACGGCCGACGTCTTCGAAGTCGACCGAGGTTATTTCTTATATCATGAATAATACTTAGAGCGGCCGACGTCTTCGAAGTCGGCCGAGGTTATTTCTTCCATAAATTTCAAGCAGGTTAGAGAAACAATCTCAGCCGACTTCGAAGATGTCGGCCGCCCCAAATATCATGAACAATACAATATGTATCAAGTATTGTAACCCAACCTAAGTATTGTTCATGATATAAGAAATAATCTCGGCCGACTTCGAAGACGCCGGCCGCACTAAGTATTGTGCGGGGAGATTATATATAGGGAAATTGATTCCACATCAATCCAAAATTGATCATTACATTGCAGCACCTTGGAATTTATTTAAATTCATGTTAATATTAATACTATCTCGTCGCGAGAGGAACACCTAATATACTAAAAGTATAGACATTTTAGTTCCAGATATTTAAATATAATCATGATTAATAGCAGGTAAAAATCTGGATTTGGGATAAAAATTAATAAAAAGGAAATAAACTCACAACCCTCTATTTTTATACCAATTTTTTTTGTTACATAATTCCCTTTAAATAAAATAAATTAATACAAAAAAAAATTACCTAATAATAAAATTTCCTAATTACCCCTAAAATCATAAATCCCCCATTTTCGTATGAACCAAATCCAAAACTTTCCTTTCCAACTCAAAAAGGTGATCGTCTTGTACATCAGGAGCAATTTCTCGCATAGCTTTAGCTAAATTGCAAACATACTCAATGTTACTACCACTAGGCCCAACAGAACTATACACTTGAAGTGCTATAGAATCTAAATCAGCCTCCCCGGCGTATTGAAAGTTATCCGAAGTTCCAACATAAATTGTAATATCGAACGGGTTTACGTTGGCATCTTTAGGATAGAAAGTTACCTGTTTGCGACGATAACCACCTTTTTCTCTGTAATCTAAGTGGTCAATTACGTGGGACACGTCGTCATCGTGTATCTTGTATGCCACACCCCAAACGCATGCCTCAGGATCATCAGAAGGAACCAAAGTGACTACACGACCAGGCTACAAACATTAACAATTACAATTTATACAAAACATATTAATTTCTCTACGTTTTCGGGTGTTCCTCTATGATCGGTGCTGTGTTGATAAAATCTTCTATAATATCCCTTAATACGACCAATTATTTTATAGTCAATAGGAAAATCAACTTTCCATACCAAGGAACCATAACCAAAAACCCACATTTTAAAAAGTGATGAAACTGGGTGATTTATTACTTTAAGCCGAGATTGTTATTTGCAGACGTGGTTTTCTAAACGATTTTATTTAAATATTTGAAATTTTTTGAAAATACTTTGACGTAATATAATTTTGAGAGTCGGGACGTCATTTTTCTTTGAGGTTATGTTTTTATGTTGTTGGTTAAAATTTTTATATCTTAAATTTGAAATTTTTAATTAATTTATTTTGTATTTAAATTATAAATAAGAGTTAATATAAATAAAAACAATTTGAAACCATCTTGAACAATTTTATTACAAAAAAATTTATTTTGGGTGTGAAACAAGTAATTTCCCAATAGCTCGTCACTAAATATTTACAAACCGAACGTAAAACTCCGCTCGGAGCCGCCCGAAAACCTACTATTTACATCTGCACAGGAAAAAGGTATATTTTTTTGCCGCAAGGACTAGAGGTAATCGTGTTAGAGAAAAAAATTACAACAAAACCAAAAAAATTAATATCGCCGACAATAAAACGTGGAAAAAAATACAGTTAAAAGAAAGAAATAAAAAACGAAATCTTCACTAGGTCATTCATTTTGGGTGACACCATTCTCCTTTTTGTCAAAGACAAGAGATTCGTCTACGCAACGTAATTATACTGATTCGGATTGTCTTTATCCCTTTCCATATAATCACGGTCGATTAACGATTCAATTCGTTTTTTTAAATCAGCAGGCTACAACAAATCAATTATTTTATATAAACAAAAATTATTTTAACTAATAAAAACTTACTTTAACAGGGAATTTTAATTGGATATACAATTCATTTATTAATAAATTATGGCTCAAAGTTTTTCGCATTTTCATAATTCTAACTATAGCTGCGTCTATTTGATATTGGCGATCTTGATAAACGCGTTCTTCAGTTGCTTTTTGTTCTTCAGTCTAAAAAATAATAGTTATTAATAAAAATCAACGAAACAGTAAAATCTCAATATAATGGATTAATATGGGAAAGAAATAACCCAAGAATAAAACAAATAGATAATAATATTATCCATTATATCGAGATTTAATTGTATTAAAAAATGTACCGTTTCTTTCATTTGTATCTGATTAATTTTAATACGATATAATTTATTCGTAAATTCATTATTAAATCGTAATTTATCGGATTCTTCAACATCACGTCCTTTGGGAACTTTAATTAACACCCTCGCCTTACCGCACGCCAATGACTGTACGGTACGTTTAAGTTCGCCATCTTCGATATTAGTAACAGCTCTAACGTGTTCATAAGATAATTCGTCGGCGTCGTTAAATAACAACAAAACTAAAGCTTGAAATAAAGAAACCACAAGTTCTTTTAAGCTGGTTTTAAATTGAGCCTTTAACACGCAATGTCCTAACGTCGGTTGCCATTGCAATTTCCTTCCACTATGTTTGCTAAGATAAAACATTTTAAAAACGTATTGAAATTGCATCATTTGTTCGGGTATTGTCACATCCAATGGCGGATAAGTAGGCCAATAACCCATTGTTAATATGTTAACCGTCATATCAATCGGCGGTAAATCTCGATTCACGTTTGCCAAATTCTGTTTAAACGCGATATTTATGTCTTTGCTCAATTCCATATCTTTGAACATTCCTTCCAGCTTTGTTGTGAAACCACCACCGCATTCTTGTTTTAATTTGCTCAACATACTCTTTTCGGCATCAACACTCGCCGATTTGCCAACTAACAGTCGTTTGGCCAAGTCTTTTTTATAAAACGCCTCGAATACGTCTTTACCATGTATAAAACGGAATAATACCATTATTTTGTCTAATAATTTTTCTAATTCTTCTTCCGTTGCTTCTTTATTGCCTGCACGTAATTTTGAATCTACAAATTTTGCTAAAACAAAAAGAAATAATTTAAAGAAAGATAATTTTTTATTATGATATTAAGATTTTGATTATTTATTATGCACAAAGTTGTAAGAAGAAAGCTTAAGACCGACAGTGATACCCAGTGAGCTATTCAATCCACTGAGCATTCTAGGTGGTGGTCAATTAAGATCAATTAGTGACAACAATAATACAAACATGGACCAAAAAATATCAAATAATAATTAAAAAACACGAAATACCGGTTATTTCGTGCATCTTTTGATAAATTTCCCAATATGAGAGAAACTACAATAAATAGGTATAAGAATGTTTATAGATAATTTATAGAGAATTAAATTCCCTTTCTGATAGGCTAAACAAATATGGGGCGTTCTATTTAAAATATTCGACTTTCTCCCCATTGAATATGAAGAAACGGTAATTCAATTTTTGACCACACTGTATAAAATACTCTGATACAACAAATGACAATCTATTTGACAACATCTAAAGAGTAATCGTGCCAATTTAGAGCTTCTTTGAATGAATGTTGGCTGGGATATGAAATTTTCCAAAAAAAACTGAAATCAAATTAACTCGAAAACGAAAAATGCTAAGTAAAAATAAGCCATCTTGAAAATATTTTAGATCGAAAGTTCCGAATTAACAACCCATGCTACCCAAATTTCAAAACTGGAATAGTGGAACCTAAAAAAGTTCTAAAATTTGAAAATTTGCCATTTTTTTGAGTTGCATTTGACAAGAGTATGATGATCTACGCAGGATGGAGCATGGCAGACTCGCGAGAGTGCTGACTGAATGGAAGAAGGATTTACAGACTATGTGTGTTGAACAATGGAGTGAGTCAAGTTGTTGAGCCAAAGTAAGATTCAATGATCTTCGTTTCTAGAGTCGCAGTAGGACGCTTTTTACTTATATGTTTGGCTGGTTCTTGCCATCTTTAAAAACAGGTGTACTAGCAGCGATGCTATCAGAATCAAGCAGTATTTCAAACAATACTTAGGGCGGCCGACGTCTTCGAAGTCGGCCGAGGTTATTTCTTCTATAAATTTCAAGCAGGTTAAGAGAAACAATCTCGGCCAACTTCGAAGATGTCGGCCGCCCCAAATATCATGAATAATACAATAAGTATCAAGTATTGTAACCCAACCTAAGTATTGTTCATCATATAAGAAATAATCTCGGCCAACTTCGAAGACGTCGGCCGCACTAACTATTGTTCTTGATACTTAGGTTGGGTTGAAGGCAAAGATCATGCTACATCACGAACAATAGTTATGGCGGTCGACGTCTTCGAAGTCGGCCGAGATTATTACCTATATCAACAGAAATAATCTCGGCCCACTTCGAAGACGTCGACCGTCCTATGTATTGTTCGCCATACTTAGGTTGGGTTGCATATAGGCGAAGATCATGCTCTATCACTAACAATACCTATGGCGGCCGACATCTTCGAAGTCGGCTGAGATTATTTCTTATATCAGTAACAACACTTAGGGCGGCCGACGTCTTCGAAGTCGGCCGAGGATATTTCTTCCATAAATTTCAAGCAGGTTAAGAGAAACAATCTCGGCCGACTTCGAAGACGTCGGCCGCCCCAAGTATCATGAACAATACTAAGTGCTGCCGACACAGCTGGCACAAATCCAGCGGTTAGCATGTCTTAACATAACGGGTGCAATGAGATCCTGTCCGACGGCTGCTTTGGAAGCCCTACTCGGTCTCACACCGCTCCACATATATATACAAAAGGAGGCAGCCTTAAGTGCCTTATCACTGAAAACAGTTTCTTCACTCAAGTTGATGCAGGGTAATCTCAGAGGACACCTCGAGATCCTCAAAGACCCATGTCTAAATCACCTGATTGAAATTAAAACGGACCTTATACCGACGGAATACAATTTCAACCAACCGTATAAGGTCATATTTAGTAGCAGGGATGATTGGGCGAAAGGAGGGCCTCAACTAAAAAGAGGAGCCCTAGCCTGGTACACCGATGCTTCAAAGACAGTAAGATCTGGAGTAGGCATGGGCATCAGTGGACCAAATAGCCACATCAAATTGCCCCTCAGCTCGGACTTAACAATTTTCCAAGCAGAAGTTCTTGCTATAAACTTCTGCACCGCTTTGAACCTACAGAAGGGACAAAAAGGTGCATCCATAAACATTTTCACAGACAGTCGGGCCGCCTT